AACGCCAGAAGAAGATAGTTCCTGAAGATTTGGTGTGAAGAAACCATTCTGAGCCTGGCTTTGAAAAAGTTTAATTAGCAGCTGGCGGAGGACTGGGCTGCAGAGAGAGGTGGCCACAGTCAGGAGTGGTGGCTGCTGGTGGGGAACAAGGCCCCGAATTCCGGGCAGGAGGCGGGAGGTCTGTCTATAGCTGCAGTTCAGGTCACTTTGGATCCAAGAGATAGAAGCCTGGGAGCCAGACTCAGCCTAAGGATGGTCTGGAAGCTCTTAGATAAGGTCATCTAAGGGCTCTGAGCTCACGGAAATTCAAAAGCCAGGGGCAGTGGCTCACTCCCAGCAGCCTCCCGAGCCTCCCACCTTTCCCTTTTCTCTACCCGGCACATTTGGTGCTCATCTCTGTAGCGCTCTGAAGCGTAGTGGTAAATACGTAGCCATCTCAGGAAGTTATGGTGGCCCTTTCTCCTTGATTAGAAGGGACCGCCCCTAGAATTGTTGGCTTTGCCTCTTCCCCATGCCCTGGACAGGGCTTGCATTGAGTGGGCTGGTGGGTCACTGATTTGCAAAGGCCCCACCCTGTGTCTCCAGCGAGTCACCTCCTCTGAGCCTCAATGTTCTCATCTGTGAAATAATGTCATTCCGTCTTTTTTCCTAAAAACCAACCAACGGTTCTTGTGAAAATTTAATGTTTTGTCATTTAAAATGAGGCGTTTCGGACTTAGATTTTGGTCATATGTTAGACTCTTGCGCGTACACAATTATGTCTGAGGCACTAGATTCATCACAACTGCAACAGTGATTGCAGGATCATCTTGATTTCAGAGATGTTAAAATGTAAAAAAATACAGTAGTGAGAAACACAATCAACACCCACTAATACTGCTGTAGTTGTGAGGATGGTGCAGGACCGGGTAGTGTTTCGTTCTGTTGCACACAGGGTAGCTGTGAGTTGAAACCAGCTCAACAGCACCTAACAACAACACCGTTGAAGGCCTTGCGTCCACCTCCTTGATTCCATCTCCCATCTTTCCACCCTACAGAAAACCCTTGTTTTCGTCTACAGTATGATGGATTGAATTGTGTCCCCCAAAAATTAGTGTTGTAAATCCTAACCTCTATACCTGTGGTTAAATTTCTGACAGTTCCCTGTCAATGTACTGCTGCAACCACTTTTGAATGATCTTCAGCAAAATTTTATTTGCATGTGACATTAATGATATTGTTTGATAATTTCTGCTTTCTGTTGGATCGCCTTTCTTTGGAATGGGTAAAAATATGTATCTCTTTCAGTTGGTTGGTTAGGTAGCTTCTTCCAAATTTCTTGGCATAGATGAGTTGCACCTCCAGCACTGCATCCATTTGTTAAAACATCTCAATTGATATTCTGTCAATTCCTAGAGCCTTGTTTTTCACCAATTCCTTCAGTGCAGCTTGGACTTCTTCCTTCACTACCATTGAGTCTTGATCATATGCTACCTCCTGAAATGGTTGAACATTGACCAATTCTTTTTGGTACAGTGACTCCATGTATTCCTTCCATCTTCTTTTTTTTTTTTTTTAAATATTTTATTGTACTTCAGGAGAAGGCTTACAGAACAGATAGTTTCTCATGTAACAGTAACACACATGCTGTTTTATGACATTGGTTAACATCCCCACAACATTTTAACCCT